TCCGCAAAGCTGCAGCCACCGCTAAAGCATTGGATCCCTCAACGTACTGCGAGAGCCCGGTGTACAGCCCGGACCTGTGCCCCAACATGATCGCCGCGCAGGCCAAGCTGGTCTACCAGCTCAACAAATACTACACGGAGCGCTGCCAGGCCCGCAAGGCGGCCATCGCCAAGACCATCCGGGAGGTGTGCAAGGTCGTGTCGGACGTGCTGAAGGAGGTGGAGGTGCAGGAGCCGCGCTTCATCAGCTCCCTGAGCGAGATCGACGCCCGCTACGAGGGTCTGGAGGTGATCTCGCCCACCGAGTTCGAAGTGGTGCTCTACCTCAACCAGATGGGCGTCTTCAACTTCGTGGACGACGGCTCCCTGCCGGGCTGCGCCGTGCTCAAGCTGAGCGACGGCCGCAAGCGCAGCATGTCCCTCTGGGTGGAGTTCATCACCGCCTCGGGCTACCTGTCCGCCCGCTCCAGACACTGGTGGCCCAGGCCGTGGACAAGTGCAGCTACCGGGACGTGGTGAAGATGATCGCGGACACCAGCGAGGTGAAGCTGCGCATCCGGGAGCGCTACGTGGTGCAGATCACGCCCGCCTTCAAGTGCACCGGGATCTGGCCGCGCAGCGCGGCGCAGTGGCCCATGCCGCACATCCCCTGGCCCGGGCCCAACCGGGTGGCGGAGGTGAAGGCGGAGGGCTTCAACCTGCTCTCCAAGGAGTGCTACTCGCTGACGGGCAAGCAGAGCTCGGCCGAGAGCGACGCCTGGGTGCTGCAGTTCGGCGAGGCCGAGAACCGGCTGGGGGTGGGCGCTGCAGGAGCAAGTGCCTCTCGGTGCTGAAGACGCTGCGCGACCGGCACCTGGAGCTGCCCGGGCAGCCCCTCAACAACTACCACATGAAGACGCTGCTGCTGTACGAGTGCGAGAAGCACCCGCGGGAGACCGACTGGGACGAGGCGTGCCTGGGCGACCGGCTGAACGGCATCCTCCTGCAGCTCATCTCCTGCCTGCAGTGCCGGCGCTGCCCCCACTACTTCCTGCCCAACCTAGACCTCTTTCAGGGCAAACCCCACTCGGCCCTGGAAAGCGCTGCCAAACAGACCTGGAGGCTCGCCAGAGAAATCCTCACCAATCCCAAAAGCCTCGACAAGCTATAGGGTTAACACCCCCGCGCGCGAAACTCGCCCTCCGCAAACAACAACAGCGCCTAAAAACTTTTTATTTAACGCCGCCGACGACGGAAAGATTAAGAAACGCGCCCCCGCCGCCCCCCACCCACCTGCGGCTCGGCCCTTAAAAACTCGCAGACGGTTTTCCCGGCATAAACTCTCGCCGCCTTGCACGGAAGAAGGGAAGAGCCTCCTCCTCCTCCTCTCCTCCAATGTGAATTTGTAAAAAGTCACACAAAGAGAAGCGATCGGACTTTCGCAAGCTCAAAACGAAACCCGAAAGGTACATTTTCCAATCCATGTATAGTCCTTTTCTTATTCTCTCTCGTTTGCCTGAATGTTGTCACCAAGTGAAAAATTATTTAACTATATGTACAAATCTCCCTTTAAAAAAAGTTTTACTGATGTTAAATGTATTTCGGTGCCAAGGTCAGATTATGTGCCCCCACGACTGACTTGTTGCAAATAGTAATAAAAATATTACTTTAACTTTATGATGACTTTTCGTGAATGGTTCTTAAATTCAGGCAAGTAAATTCTTTCTGAACCTCAGAAGTCAAATTTTTTAAAGAAACGGAAACACGAGATGTAAAGACAGTGTAAACGCGACACCTAGCCGGAGCCTTAGCTCGGCATATTCATTGATGTTTTCTAAACTTCCCTCTAGTTTCTATAAAAACAGTGCACCCAAGAAAAAAAAAA